TGTATGGAATTATATAGAATTTTTTGGAATTATCGGAGTACTAGATTGAATTATAAGAATTACGAAAGTGAAGTAGTTTGCCCCTTGAATATACGTGATTGAAATCATATGTCTTTTGTTTATTTGATATTTAGCACAAACATAGATAACAGAAGATTGATTCGAAGTGAATTGGTGTAAGAGATGGATTCCAGCCAAAAGCCAGATCGGCCAAATCCACGAAAAGGGGCGAATCCTTTATCGCAGCTATTTTTTCTGTGGATAGTGCCGGTATTTTGGAGGGGAATGAGAAATGGATTGAACACAGACGATCTCACACAGTGTCTGAAAAAAGATGATTCAGAAACACTTGGTGACGAACTGGAAAGGTGAGATTCGACACAAATAACTTTGATTTGTTGTAACCGACACACAAAAAGGAAGTTTTCTAACGATTGTCACATTAAATTTATGTTCTAATCATTTTAAAATCAAATATTACATTTTTATACACAATATAAATGACATTTTCGTAAAAATTTTTTTCTTTCTGCATAAACAGAGAGTGGGATAAAGAGGTTGAACGTGCTCAAAAACGTAAACGTAATCCACGCTTGCGGAATGCAATGTTTCGAATGTTTGCACCGCACTTCGTTCTAGACGGCATTAAGTGCTTTTTATTCATATTGATAAAGTACGTATTGTAGTTTTAAGATATAATTCCAATCAGTTGAAATACCTTATCTCATGCAGTTCGGCTGCTATTTGTATGAAACCAAAACGGAGAAGTTTGTAAATAAAAAGGAGGCGTTTTGCTTAACTCCTACTCTCTCTAATTGGCAGCCGAGTTCGGCCAGATAAGATATTTCAGCCGACGGCTTCAAAGTCTATTAAATTAAGACTCATATTTAAATGCTTATTAATTAATTTGTCCGTCCATTAATAGATCATTACTTCCGTTGGTGCTAGCTCAATTACTTATTCAATTTCAAAAGCCAATTGTTACAGACAATTCAGTTCAAAATGGTACAATCAGTTCAATCAATGATACGTTGACAGTACAGCTCAATAGTTCAACTACAACTCCAATCATCCAAAGAAATATTCGCAATGTTCTTTATGACGAAGATGCAATAAATGATTTTGATGCGTTTCATAAAATTGTAAAACGCTTTGTTGCCCCAGAACATTCATCAAATGGTGAATTTCCAATATTGATATATATAAACTTATTTGATGATATCATTACATGACAGTTTTTGTTTTTATTGCATCATTCTAGAAATAGCAACAAACACAATTGGCAACAACGAACAAACAAATCACATTGACGATGTGAAAAATGAATCGATAAAAAATACATTTCCCGTTGCCACTTCACGCAGTGATAAACACGACGAATTAAGACTTAATTTTACACGAGCCGATTTTTACAAGTTTTTCAATGAAATTTGGAACGATATTTATTGGCTAGCAAATCTTGTAATTTGGATGGGTTTTGTCGGTTTATTATTGTCACATCATATGGACCTGCGATTACTTATGTTAGGAGCTCGAATGCGTATCGCCTGCTGCTCTCTAATTTATCGAAAGGTAAACAGTTTTAAATTTTCTCCAATGAATTATTAAATAATCGTTGCCACTCTTCATGTTAAAATAAATAGAGTTTACGTTTGTCGGCATTAAGTGCAAGCCGTACGGGTGCTGGTTATCTGGTGAATTTAATGTCAAATGATGTGGCGCGATTGGATCGAGGATTCACCTACTGTCATTACATTTGGATACTGCCACTACAGGTTGTTTACGAAATCATTTTGTCTCAACTCGTCAATATCATTGTTTCAATCATTTGATTTGATCACAAACTAATTTTTATCATTTTCATCTAGTCAATGTTAATCGGTTATTTAATATGGCAACGTGCGCAATGGGCAGCTGTTGTTGGTGTCTGTGGATTACTATTGAAAACGGTGCCTGTTCAAACACGTTTGACACACTACACCTCGAATTTGCGAATGAAAGTGGCACGCCGAACCGACAACCGAGTTGGAATAATGAACGAAATTATAAATGGTATTCACTAGGGGCAATTCACTTAAAAATTGCTTCTTAATTATTATTGATTGTTTTGCAATTATTTTTCGATTATTTTAGATTAATTAGATTCATTTCTTTTGTGATTCTCGCCTTAGGTATTCAAGTGATTAAGATGTATGGTATGTGTGTGTGTAATTCAGTGCTCTTTTGATTTGAATAATCATACCGATTTTTATTAAAACATAGCTTGGGAAATTCCATTCCAATTGGTCGTCGCGGAAGCTAGACGCCTCGAAATCAAGAAAATTCGTTATGCATCATACATTTTGGGTGTTAATTTAAGCTCTTTTGTGTTCATCGAACGATCAACACTTTTCATATCAATTGCAACATGTATCCTTACCGGCCAAATCATTACCGCTGATCTCGTCTTTTCAATGGCACAGTACTTTAATATTTTACAGGTCCGTATGAAAGATTTATAAATTTTTCAAATTGAATGGGCCAAATTAAATTGTAATTATTGTTTCAGTTAAATGCTGCCATTTTCTATCCATATGCGCTCAATTTTGGTGCTGAGGCTTTGGTTTCCATCAAACGAATCGAAGAATATTTACTTAAAGGCGAAAAAAATGAAACCGAACTTGGACTAGAACGTCGTGACTCGACAGTCTTAATAGATAGCAAGCGTAGGTCTTTTAACATTTGCTCTTACTTTGATAATATGAATGCATTTTACATCACAATCTCTTGTTCTTAAAATAGAAAATGCCATTGATATCAATGATGTCAGTGCATCATGGGATGATGATTCAAATCGAAAAACATTGCAAGAAATCAATCTGAAAATCCGTGCGGGACAATTGTGCGCAATAATTGGACCGGTGGGTTCGGGAAAATCGAGTCTAACACAACTACTGTTAGGAGAATTACCTGTCCAAAGTGGAAATGTGTTGATCAATGGTTCAATGTCGTATGCTTCTCAAAAGCCTTGGCTGTTTTCGGGCACTGTTCGAAACAATATTCTTTTTGGTCAAATGTACGATAGAAAACGATACAATGAGGTTGTGAAATGTTGTGCCTTAGTTACAGATTTTGAACAGCTGCCAAATGGTGATAAAACCGTTGTTGGTGAACGTGGTGCATCTCTATCAGGTATAATGAAAAGCGATTTTTTAAATTGAATTTGTTGTTTTAACGAAAATTTATTCAAAATAGGTGGTCAAAGAGCAAGAATCAGCCTCGCCCGTGCAATGTATAAACAAGCATCTATTTATATTTTGGACGACCCTCTCTCTGCGGTAGACGCTCATGTTGGTAAACATTTGTTTGACGAAGTAATTGGACAAAAGGGCTGGGTCAAAGATGCAACACGAATTTTAATCACACATCAAGTACACTTTTTGCAAGAAGCCGACATAATCGTGATATTAGAAAATGGACGCATTACGCACAGTGGAACGTATGCTGAACTATCGAATAGTGACTTAGACTTTGCAAAGTTACTGCAAAAACTCGAAGAAGAAGAAGACTTGGATGAATCGTTGAACGAAAGCGGAAGTCCTTTGTCGGAAAGTGGAAGCATCTACGAAGATGACGACATTCCGTACATTGACGATTTTGTACCGAACGGATCACCTTACAGACAGTTGAAGCGGCGCAAAGATTCAGTTTCAAAGTCATCAATTGACTCAAGACAATCACATGAATTTGAACAAAATCAAATTGATGCAGAAGAACAAGCTGAGGGCAGTGTGCCGTGGCATGCATTTTCAAAATATTTTCTATCGGGAACAAATTGCTGTGGCATGTTGTTACTGTTTTTCGTAATGCTTTTTTCACTATGTGTTACCAGCGGAACCGATTATTTCGTAAACTATTGGACTTATCAAGAATATCAGCGTTCAAATGGTGAGCAAGTACCATTAACTGAGATGCAGTATTTGGCTATCTATGGAGTATTCATAATTGGCCTTATTTTTGTAAGATATTTTATTTTATTTTATTTTATTTTATTCTGACAAGGGTAAACTCTGATTTTTCTTTGGATGGAACTGATATAGTTTGCATTAAGATTTAATTTCTCTCTCTCTTATCATCACATAATTTAAAATTACAAAAATATTATTTCTATTTTAGATTTGTGTTTGTCGAAGTATTTTGTTCTTTAAAATTACGTCACGAGCATCGAAGACACTTCACGATCAAATGTTCTTCAGCATATTAAACACTCCAATGCGCTTCTTCGATACAAATCCGTCGGTGAATATTAGATCCCTCTGTGAGGATAAATGATGCATATTTAACAAACACGTGGATACCTTAATCTTTTTAGGGGCGTATTCTGAATCGATTTTCCAAAGATATGGGCGCAATTGATGAAATTATGCCACGAGTGATGATGGAGGCAATCCAAATATCATTGGTCATGTGTGGTATATTGTTGGTTATTGTGGTGGTCAAGTAATTTATTCACAAATATATCTTTTAAAATTCAAATAACACATTTAATATTTATTTTTCAGTCCACCGATGGTTGTGGCATTGTCATGTGCAATGGTGTTCTTCGCTTTGATTATCAAATTATACTTACGTCCATCGCAAGATCTGAAGCGGCTAGAGGGAATTAGTAAGTTTTGGAAAAAAAAATAATTAAAAAGCCTAATAATAAAATTTGTTTGTTAACATTGCATAGGTCGAAGTCCCGTATTCTCACACTTGACGGCAACGATAAATGGTTTGGCAACAATTCGTGTGCGAAACATTCAGAACAAGCTAATCAATGAATTTGATGCCTTACAAAATGTACATAGTGCTGTGTGGCAACAAGCAATGACTGCGAACACGGCTTGTGGATTGTGGATGGATTGTGTTAGCACCGCATTCGTTGCGTCTGTAACATTTAGTTTCATAATTTTATATGAAAATACATTTAGTGGAAATGTTGGGTTAGCTATTTCCCAGGCCCTGATCCTAACCGGTATGGTTCAATATGGTATTCGACAAGCAACAGAAACAATGCAACAAATGACCAGTGTTGAACGTATTCTGCAATACACCGATTTGGAACCGGTACGTTTTCGTATTTAAAAACCTTCATATATTTAGGAATACTAAAAAGCGGCCGTTTTTCTCATTTCATATAGGAACAAAGTCCCGAGGAAAAACCACCATCCGATTGGCCCCGAACTGGAAAAATAAAACTACACAATATGTCGTTACGATATGATCCGAATGGACCGCCTACGTTGAAAAATCTACGGCTTGAAATTGAATCTGGATTCAAGATAGGCGTTGTCGGAAGAACAGGAGCTGGCAAATCATCATTAATTAGTGCTCTATTCCGGTTGGCGCACGTTGATGGAATCATTGAAATTGACGACATCAATACGTGCACGATTGCATTGTCTAGCCTTCGAGAGAAAATCTCAATCATTCCACAAGATCCGGTGCTATTTAGTAATACACTACGCTACAATTTGGATCCGTTTGGCAATTATTCCGATGACGCAATGTGGCGATCGTTGGAAGATGTTGAACTAAAATCAATGGTCGAAAGTTTAGACTATTATGTTACCGAAGGTGGTACAAACTTTTCACAAGGTCAACGACAACTCATTTGTTTGGCACGTGCAATCTTAAGAAATAATAAAGTGCTTGTACTTGACGAAGCCACTGCCAATGTTGATCCACAAACCGATGCTCTTATACAGAAAACCATTCGCGAAAAGTTCAAAGATTTTACCGTCATCACTGTGGCTCATCGTCTTCACACAATTATGGATTCAGATCGTGTATTAGTTATGGATGCGGGTAGTGCAATGGAATTTGATATTCCACATAATTTGCTACAAATGACAGACGGCATTTTCCGTGGCATGGTCGATGCAACCGGTCCACAAGAGAGTGAACAATTGAAAAAAGTTGCGGCGAAAAAATTCGACGAACTTCAAAAAGAACGTAGAACGTGATCTACATTTCTGTATAAAATTATGCACAATTTATGTATAAAATGAATGTAGCAATCTTTGAACCAAAAAATCCAAAAAGGAAACATTTTTCGAGGTGCTCAAATTACTTAGATTTACAATTATATTCTCAAGTGTCCAACATAACACACATTATGTTAATAAACATTATTATTTGCATTTTTTTTCTCTTTATTTTTGTTATCTCTATCGATCAATTTATTACAAAATTCTATAAAATAAAAATAAAAATATAAACTACTCCAAATGCGAAAGGTCATCTATTTCTGGAGTCTCTTGTATTACATACGAAGTATTTTGAACATCATTCGCAACAAACTGTTTTGGAGCTATTACCTGAAAAGATTTTGTTATTGTTATATGAACTATTTCGCATCATATTTTACGATTGTCAACTTACTTGTGCGTTGGTAGAACCAGGTGGATTCATGACAACGATGTTTGGCTTGGCTTGTTGCTGTATGTTAATGCCGGGCTTTACAATAACGAATTTTTGCGGAAGTGATGGGTTACTTAATGTTTGTGGCGATGGCAGTGTAGACCCTGTTGATAGCTGTCTCTGGGGTACAATTGTTTTTGTACTTGGAGTACCTCTGCAATGTAAAATATTCTGACGTTATTAATGATTTTGAAAAATAAAAACATATGTAAAAATGTAAAGAAAATATGTACGTACGCGATGCGCGGTGTAGTTTGTTGTCGTACTGAAGGTACGTGAGACACTGAAGGTGTTATTGGATTTATGACTGTAGTTGTGGTTGTAGTTTGAGGAATGCTCGTAGTATAAGTTTTCTCACTAGATGTGCTTGGTGGTGGCGGCGGTGCATTTCGCGATTTTAAGACCGCTTGTTGTAGTGTAATTCCAAGAAATCCGTAGTCTCGCCTGATAAACAGATAAAAAGTTATTAAAGGTTAAGAAATAATGGTTTGTATTGCAAGAGACATGTTTGTGAGACATTCATATATTTCGTAAGCACTTACTTGTATTCGTCCACAACGTCTGGTGGATTTCTAATGGATTTCAAAACTGGTGCACACAATTTCTGAAGCATAGCTCTTATATGGCCGGCCGCAATTTTATCAGTATTACTAGCTCCTGTTCCATTCAAATGCGGCTCAATCCTATCCGAAATAGACTTTAAGCGGGGCACAATGATCACTTTAATCACCTCGCTGCCAAGTTCGGCCAGGCCAGCAATCGCTCCGTACAACGACGACAATTGGGTTTTATCGTTTTGCAGTGCATTGCTAAACAGTCTTGTTATACGCGTTTGCAAATTATTTGTCGATGCTGCAAATGAATGATTAAAATGATTATAAATAGTCTGAAGATATGCGTAGCTTGAAGATAACTTACTGTTAAAATTCTTTGATATGGTTGCCATAAGTCTCGATGCAAAATCTCTCAATGCCCAATGATTGTCCAATTCGGGTCTCATGCACAGAGTTCGCGAAACTATACATGATGCCACCGACGGAATCAATTCATGTAAATACTTCTCCAAATAAAGAGATGGGTTATCCAAAAGTGCTTTCACCATTCGCATAAGGTAAATCAATAGCGCCAAATTATTTTGTACCACATTCACTTTAACACCTTCAGCAATAAATGTACACATTCTCGGCAACATTTCATGTAAACCTGATGATTGTATTTAAAATAATGCGTTTTTAGAAACATGTATGTATACTACATTTGGTTAACATTATAAAATATCTACCTGGATCAGCAGACAATGACTGTAATGCCTCGTCTCGTCGAGCTTGGTCAGAGCCAACACAGGCTTCGGTTATCTCCTTGTAATAAAGTTGTTGCTCGACAGATAATTCGTGTGTCGCCAATTGTTTGACATGTACAGTTTCGGAATTTTTGAATTTTTGTAGTTTTCCGATTGTCGGTTTGCCGGTAACATCTTTTTTCACATTTGTATCGAGTTTTTTAACTGGATTTACCGTATCTTGTAGCTGATTGTCTCGTGTTAATGGTGGTGGGTTTTCAGGTATTGTCGGCTGAATGCCATCCACACAAAGCCAATGCGCCCTTAACGATACTTCCAACGGAACTTTTGGAGGCTGTGCCTGAATAACATCATTCAAGTCCAATTCTTTTTCTTCGATGAAATGCAACTCACGACCGCCACCCGATGCAAAACGAAATGGTATAAAATCATGTGATACAAAACCGTATTGCGGTTCAATGTTACGCACTTTCAACGAATGATCAATATCGGATATTAATAACTTTTGGCGCTTCGCGTGATGCATAAATTTTGCGCTATCTTGGACAATTTGTTTTAATTTGAATGAAACATCGTCAGCGAGCTCTTTGGCCGCATCGTCGGGAAGCGCATTCAAACCAATGCTTTCAGCTATTACTTTTATCGATTCAACCGATAATGTTGTTCCGTATAAACCACTCATATTTCACACAATTCTTCTAAATTTACAAATGTCTATGAATAAAATGAAAGACACAAATAAACACTTTAATATATGGCGTTTCATACAACTTTTAACACAAAATGATACGATCTTATTGACAGCAGCAAAATACATACCAAACGAAATGTCATTAACGAAGCTATGTCACGATGAGTGCGTCTAATGATACCATATACTATTTGAAAAACAACGTTATTGTAAATGTAATTTTCATCCTTTTCATAGTTTTGTAGTTTTTTGCTAAATATACTGTCGCATTCAAATTTTTCATGCCATCATTAGTATTTAACTTTTACTCTTTGGTTCAGGTAGAAAAACGTTCGATATTTTAGATAGAATTTTTTTTTGTTCGATGTTACTGTGTTTTATTTAAATACCTTCATTTTTCTTTGGAATTTGCTAAATTACCTACTGAAATGAAAAAAAATTAAATTGTTTTTTTTTTTTTAAATAAATAAAAGACTGTGTGTTTTTCTCTTGAAATCTTTAATTTTCAGCACAGTTTTTGAATTTGGTAACAATCAGAATAATCAATTAGAATTTTTTTTTGACAAGAATTTAGTGTTTACAAGTTTTTTTATTTATTTTTTTGCTCAAAAAATTTGTTAAACTGAATGTCAATCAATTTGAGTGCATGTCGATTTGTTTAGTTTCCACCACGGAGACGCAAGACCAAATGTAGAGTACTCTCTTTTTGGATGTTGTAGTCGCTCAATGTACGACCATCCTCGAGCTGTTTACCAGCAAAAATCAAACGTTGTTGATCTGGTGGAATACCTAAATTAATAAATACAATAATTGAAAACTTGTAACAAAATGCATGTAAATCACCAAGAAAAATGTCATGTATGTCATTTACCTTCTTTATCCTGGAT